AGTATTGAAACTACAACTCTTCATTGTGCATCTATTGTTTTCTCACAAGAATAGGATATACAATAAATATTGAAAAATTAATTGTAAGATTTTTTTTTATAACAATGACAGTAATGATGATGATTCTGACGAAGAGGAATCCAAAACGCAATCTAATACAGAGAAGAAAGGAGAATCTTCGACTGTTGGCATTGATGAATACAACTTTAAAGACTATGACAATGAATGTAAGAGAAAAATTGCTAAATACTGGAAATAATAAAAATATTTTTGATTTTTGATTTTTATTTTGTTTTAGCTGGCAATATGTATTGCCACATTAGTAATTTAGCCACTTTTGATGCAAGTGGCAAAGATCCTCTTATAACAAACGATGAAGAAGATTCAGATGAGGAAGATGATATTATCAAAGCTGATGATAATTTAGTATTGTTTGGGCATGTTGAGGGAGATGCTAGCATCTTGGAAGTATTTGGTTTGTGTAGCATTGATTAAATATTTGAAGCATTTTGATGCTAAATAATTTTATGTATTATATAAATCAATTATATATATATATATATATATAGATCTTTGATTTCTAACAATCTTTATATGTATAATTGTAGTATATAATGAAAGGGAAGAATCCTTTTATTGTCATCATGATATATTACTACCTTCGTTTCCATTGTGCATAGAATGGCTTAACTATGATCCTACTACTCCAAAACCAAGTGAGTAATATAACAGTATAATAACCCCAACTGCATTAGAAATTATAGGAAGTATAAACTGTATTATAGGAAGTATAAACTATTATTTATATAATAAAAGACGTAATTATGAAGATTTATGTTTATGCTTTTAGGCAATCTATGTGCTATTGGTAGTATGACTCCCATAATTGAAGTATGGGACTTGGACTTGATAGGCTGTTTAAAACCAGCTTACAAATTAGGTCGTAAACCAAATAAAATGAAGAAACAAAAACGCATTGGTCACAGAGATGCAGTTCTAGACGTGTCATGGAATCATAATTATACGTTGGTTATTAATTTCACAAAAAATATAATCAATGTAATAACTAATTTTTGTAATTACTAGGAACATTTTACAGACATGTTCTTGCTAGCGGTTCGGCCGATCAGACAGTTTTATTGTGGGACTTGGAAAATGGTAAACCTGTGAACAAACTAGGTCCGTTCAACGAAAAAGTGCAAGCGCTAAAATGGCATCCACAAGAAACTCATCAGCTATTGATAGGATGCGCCGATGGGTGTGTAGATTATTCTATTGATAAACATTTGTATTACATAGATATCTACTGTAATACTTTTTCAGACTAGTAGAACTGTATGATTGCATGAACGAAGTACCTATTGTACAATGGAAGTCATTGGGAGAAGTGGAAAGGGTCTTATGGAATCATTATGATCCAAATTATTGTATTGTATGTCTTACATGCATCTGAAATTAATTTTTTTTTTATTATATTTGTAATTAAATTTCTTTACACAGATTAGCACAGATAATGGTTATATAAAATACTTTGATGTACGAAAACGCAATCCATTATGGCAAATAAAGGCCCATGAAAAAGAAGTCACAGGTAAATAAATCTCTTATTTAATTTGTTTTATATTAATAGCTCATAAATTTCATTTTTTATATTTTTCCAGGTCTTTCTCTTAGTACGTCATGCCGAGATCTATTAGTCTCTTGTTCGAACGATGGTGTAATCAAAATATGGGATATAGACTCTCCTATTCTTATATGGGAACAGACGAGTAATTTGGGCGCTATACAGTGCCTCGCAGCGAATCCAGATAATGGATTTGTATTTACTGTTGGTGGAGATAATAAGGAGCACAATTTTAAAGTGTTGGATCTTATGGAGATACCTGCAGGTATGTATAAATAATTTTTAATACAGATTAAATACCATTGTGTTAACTTTTTTACTCTGATTAATAGTGCGAGAGAGATTTGTGAAACGCGTTGCATCGAAAAATTTGGCGAAATCTCGGCAAGAGACGATGGACGTCACCGAAGATATGGAAAATATGGAAATTTAAAATCAGGAATCGTCAAGCACAAAAAAAGATAAAAAAATAAAAGAATACATATTAGTATCAAAATTGATTATAAAATCTTAATTATATTTTAAAACATTTAAATAGTCTCATAAAAATTGTAAATAAACGACTTTTGTTACGCATTTCTTTTTTATACAGACAATTAATCTGTAGTATTAACATAAAACTGTTCGATAAGAGAATAAATGTATCCATGTACATATTTGGTAGGCTTATTAAAACTCCTTTTGTTTTTGTTTCTCAAAACATGATTTATTGTTTCCCTGTTAACAGTTTAATTTTAACCCCATGATTATTTTTCAAGAAACTTACATCATGTAATTTTTTTATTGAAAATAACAATACAGTATTTTATTCAAGTATTTACCGAATTTTCACATTATATGATACGAACAATTAATGTAACATTTTGAAGACATCGTTTCATTAAAAAAAATTATGCTTTTAAAAGCGGACTTCTCTGATTCGCAGTGCCTTGCTATAAATTTGTAATGGGTAATAGTACTTAATTAATCTCTCGAGTGAATAAGAGATTACATATTGCATTTAGAAATGTTAATTCAAAAAAATTCAAAAATTTAGTACAGATTCGAAAACATTGTCCATTCGGAATCTTTGTATTCTATTAAAATGCAGATAGATTTGTGCCATATATGTAAAAATAAGCAGGTTACAAATGTAAGACAAAAGAACATGTATGATAGAAAGGATTTGTATAACTTATACGGTTCCACAAAGTTGTAAAAATATCATTTGCGTGCGACTATTTCTGTAAAAATTGTGATTTAATTACCTGTCGATTAAAAATCTGTTTGTAAAAGCTACACGGTCTTATGTAACGACTCGTTTGATTAAGAATTCAAGATATCAACGCTATCGAAAAAGCAAGTCTGAGGGGGAGGGGCAGTCGTGAGGATTATTTTTACAAGTTAATATTACCAAATGTTTGGCGATATTATTCGTTCCTCGATTTATCTATTAATTCGCTTAATTACTCTGATTATATATACTGATAGATTCTTATATTTACTTTCATTTTTAATGCAGAATCGTATTACAATTATCTCGATAGTGTATAATTATCGGGTAATATTAACAATGTTGCTGTGTTAGAAATCCTTTCTTTTCCACTTTACCCGTTTACTTAAGGAACTGTTGTGGTCCTTGCAGCTACGATTTAATTTTGAATAAATACAACAAGTGTTTGCTGTTACAAAATTTTGTTGGGCAGTTACAAATATGGTTAAAAATAATGAAATAATTCAACGATTCTTTTTGTGTGCATTTGCGTTTTGAAACAAAGTATTACGTCGTTCTGTTCTATGATCTTAAGGATGTATCTGAGATACAATCGTTGACAAAAGTCCCCCAAATTCGAAATATTTACATAACTGCGCTAAACAGTTAGTGCAGTAAATCTAGTGATAACTTATATAAATGGTAGATAATATAATATATTTATTTTTTAAAAAGTTATTTTTGCTGCACTTACATAGTCTACCAGTGATTGACGCATTTGAAAAACTGCAAAATTGTTATGAATAATAATTTCTCTGAAACCGTGTTGTGAAAATTAATCTAATTTTGCAAAAAGTTCCAGTAATTTAGGATCTGTACGTATAAAAAAAAATTAAATTTTTGGTACTATTTCTTCAATACTTTCATTACTAATTACATTCGACAAAGTTGCGTTTCCCGTAAGAAAACGTCTCTTATAAATATAAACTTTACTAATACTAGCCAATTAATCATTTATTTTCAGTATTACAAATACTATTAATAATATTTTTAATATTTAAAATAAGTTATTAATTGGCCAGTACTAGTATTAAATTTGTATAATCATCATAATTAAAATAATAATTATTCTTTAACGGTTTATCTACTTGAAATTTTTTTTAGTATATTATAGATAACAAAGGAAGAGTTTCCCGAAGTTTCAATTTGGTATTATTTTTGGAATAGTTCAGATACATCCTTAACTTGTTTATTTGTTAAAAATGAAATTTTATCTTCCTTTTTTTTTATCAGAGAGCGTTGTATGAATATTCAATACGCGAAGTACATTTATATTACATATTTGAAAATTCATATTCGATCTGTACATACGATTGTGATTAAACGTTTTTCGACCTAATTATTTGATGAATTTAACTGTGCTTTAATAAAAGTGCAGAATAAATTAGCGAATCATGGAGATCAGTAAAATATAACTTTTTATTATTTAAGTATTTTGTATTTCAAGAAAATTCGTCTCAATTCAATGACGAACTAGAATGGAATAAGATGTACATATGTACCAGTGCCAGTCATACTGGTTAGTCTTGTTAACAAATTTCGAACCGCATTACGATTTACGATGCGCTTTCTGGCAGTGGTCTCGTAAATTCAATAAAAATCAAAGATATAATTATATCAACAATATTTCATAAAATTTTCCATTTCACTGATATTTACAATTTCCTTCTTTCTATTTTTCTTTTGCATTTAAATCTAGCGCGGAATATATCACGCCGATAGACATTTCAAACAAATTCAATAAATATTACAGAATAAAAAAATGACATCTGTAATGTAAGCGGTCTTTTAAGTACATTTTTTTCACACAAAATGAGTAGAGAAGCGATTCAAATTATTCAACATTTTGTGTAACGAGTAAAACAGTGATATACAATGTACATATATTCCTATTCTTCTTTCCTTGAATGATATACGAATCATGCTCAGTCAATAATATCTTCACTGACAGCACAAAATCAGGGTTGGTAAAAACTAATGTTTTTTTTTTTTTTTTAAGAATAAAACATTGTGTTTCTTCTTAAATATGTTTTTAATGCTTCAAATACTTTAAACAGTACTATGAAAAAACATTTAAAACATATTAAAAACATCAATTTAAGCATGTTTTAAAACGCGTTTAAAACATGTTTTTTACCAATCCTGCACAAAATGCCTGACCTCGTTAGGTTCGTCATACAACTTGCGACGCATAGTCAAACGAGAGAAGAGCGACTGTCAACAGTGGTCGCTTTTGTCTAGAGGATGTATAGTTGACCATAAAGGTTGACATATACATACAATATATTAATTAGAATAATTCATACACACATATGTAACATTAGCATTAAACTAGGCGTCGGTTCCTACATCGAGACTTCTCGAGTCCTGATTCGAATCGTGCTGGCTCCCGCCCTCGGAGCTCGCATTGCTCGACTGATCCGAGCCCTTTTTCACCTTGGGCTTGTACTCCGTGATAGTGACGGTAACATTGTTGACCGTTACCTCGTTCGATTGCGCGGTGCTACGGTCGATATTTTTCAGACGCGGCGGATGCCTGTTTTTGCGCCTTAGCTTGTCCAGTTTGCGTTCCTTTTCCTTGACGCCGCTGGTCGTGCTACCACCGCCACTTCCTTCTTTCTTGCCTGGTTTCAGAAGTGGTACATATTGTTGCTGCGCAACCTGGATATGATATAGTACCGTATTGATTATGTGTTAACTCTAATACCGAAATAATAATGCAAAAAATAATTTGAAAACAAATAGTTGCAGTCTAAAATAAAAAAGGCATGTTCCTCTATATGTAAGTTATATGGGCTGTATTCTCCATTATTGCGAGTACTGAAAATCTATAATATACAATATATATGAACTATAGATTTTCAGTACTCGCAGTGAATAATGCAGTTAGTAAATGATATATATTTGTGGACAATGATTCGTCATCTCCCAGACTAATAAAGCTAGTCCTGAAGGTGCCTACTCTGTTTTACTATAATAATCTATATACTGAAGATGCGTTCCTCTTACGTTTGCAACACTCGTGAGCATCATTTCATCCTTCTTATCATCAAATATTAAACAAGAAAAGAAGAGTAACATAAAACAAATATGTACATGACTCTTACATATATCGAATCTTACGATTCTTTTAGTAGAACAGGATACTTTCATAAACTTGCTTTACTAGAACTAGGGAGTGAATTAATGTCTACAGATATATATTGCAAGATAATTCGACTGACCTGTTGAGCTACTAATTGGGGGTTTATGCGGGGTTTCCGCGTAGAGGTTCCTTTGCGGACGTCACACATGAGGCACTTAAATGCTTCCGCTGTATTCCTATAAGTGCAGACACTGCAGTCCCAATAATTTTCTTCCAAAACCTTCGCCTGACGTTTTCCGCTTCCCGAATGGTTCATTGTTTGTTGAAGTCAATCGTAGAACACTGTACCTTCTCAAAAGAAAGTTTCCCCTCTTTTGAGGCACCTTCGGCCTCATTAAATTTAGCAGTTTTGTGAACACCGGATATTTTCCAACAGAGCGTGACTAAGGATATGCAATAAAAGTGCTAGACAAATGTCTAAGGCAACGTTCCGTACATCAACTAAGCGAGATACATAATAGTCTATTATAAATGATCGCTCTGTATTGACCACCTATGTCTCTATATTGTATCACTCTGACATTACACATTTTCTTCTAATGAATCTGTAACGAAAAAACAGTCTTGTTAATTCGAATACATTCAAAAATAAAATAGAGATATTTCTGTATAACAACAATCTCGGCAAAATATTATTATAGAACCATGAGTCTGTTGATATGTTTTGTATCCATTTAAATTGGTATTCAATAAAATCAAGATACTTTGAAAAAAAGCAATTAATAAATATTTCAAAGAGATAGCCAGTATCTTCTAAAAATGAATTGTTCTTCAATCTATTTAATTTGTGATAAGAGGGAAAATAAAACTAAATATCAAACTAATACCAAATTAATTATAATCATCACATGAGCAAAGTTTCGAATTATTGTTTTGAATAGGAATCTGAACTGAAACAACCAACTACTGAGAGGCTACTGTCTCTATTTATCAATACAGAATTGACTTCTCGTCTACCTCAGAAATTAACTCACATTATTTACACTCGATGTTCACAGATAGCGAATTCGTTCACGCTGATGGACACTGGAGATTCTTTCTAGTGCCACACGTTCAGTCCAGTATTTCCCTGTCCCCCCTACGGTGTAATAAAATTGTACTTGACTCAATGTCACTCTCCTATCAAGCGACGCTTGTATGTTTTGTTTATATTTTCCTCAACCAAAGCGAGATACTCGCTGCGTTTCGAGACGGATGTCGTACTCGTGCAGAGTCCAGTTCGCTACAACGAAGGCGTCCGCAGGAGTTCCTCCCGGAACTTCTTCTGGAGTTTCTCGCTCGAAGCGACGACGCGACGTCCCGGACACGTCAAGCCCGGAGTCCCGCCGGCGACGAGGTCACGGATCGGCGCATCCTGCCAACGGCGAGGCGGATGGAGCTCGTCGGTGCATCGTCGCGCGCGTGTATACGTGTACAACGCACGTGCGCTCGCGCGCGCGTCGTGTCGTGTCGTGTCAATACCGTTCGTTACACGCGTGTCCCACCGCGAGTGTCCGCTGGTTCACCGCGTTCGCGCATTCCAGCGTCCTGGCTGGCAGCGGCGACCGGAGGGGGAGGGGAGGGGGAGGGGGGAGTGGGAGAGGGAATCTTACGGAACGTCTCGCGCGAAGGGTGTCGAAGGGCGAGCCGAGAAGAAGAAGAGGCAGAGCTGGATGGTGGTGACGATCTCCAATGATCTCTCCCCTGCTTTCTTCACTACCGAATCCGCCGTCGATCGTCCGTCATGCCAGCGTAACGAGCGTGCTCGTCGATGATCGTACTGGCGAATGACGAGGCACGTACCTTGAAGCGCGGGAGGATAAGCAGCGTCGGAGGTGGAGGAGGAGAGGATATTGACAAACAATCCGACGGCGAGTGCGTGCGGCTGCTCCGTTCACGATGGTCCGATTCCGCTCGTTCCTATTATACGGGTTACGTTGACGTTCGGGAACGCGGAACAAAATTCCACCCCCTTCTGGTTACCCAAAAAAATCTCTCGTGACTGACATGCGCTTCGCAGGTGCGTAGGAATTAAATGAATAATTGATGTTTCTCTTGTTTTTTCTTTGATTATTTCTTATTACAAGATCGTCTTAAACAATGTTTTAATCTTTAGGCTAATACGGCTTCGTAATATTGATTTGTGACATCTAAATTATGAATGTTGACTTACCTTTTTTTTTTTTTATATACAATAAGTTGTGTTTCAAAATTTACTGCCAGCGTTGAAAATATAATTATAATTATATTTATAATTTGCGTCAGATTTCAAAATAAAATTCTAATCTGAAAAAATCTCATGCTAGCACTGAAAATCTATAGTGCGTAACATATAAGTTATAGACTTAATTATATAATTATAATTTATAATTTTATAAACGGAAAGATAAAGGGCATACATCACGAACGCAAGATATTCTTAGCGATTAGTTTATACTTGATTTCAACACATATAATCAAATTACAAAAATATTACATAGACGTTTCGGTCTTAAATTAGGCCATCTTCAGTATATAAGAATTTCATAAAAATTTTTTTACACGCAAACTAGGGCTCGCTATTATACGTTTAAACGAAAATACCTTTACATGTATAATTAGTATATCTGTTTATTAGAAACGTTTTTC